GCCCCCCCCCCCCCCTCCGTCCACATATACACGCACACACATACACACACTCACTCACACACACACACACACACACACACACACACACACACACACACACACACACACACATAAACACACACACACACACGCACACACCACCACCACCACAACCCAGAAAAGACAAAAACAACTAAAAAACGATAAGAAAATGAAGCTCCAAAAAGAATTAAAAGTAATGCTTACATTTAGATTTGTATTCCGAGACAGAATCCACAATGAAAATTGTACACATGTTGGCCACTCATTGAAAATGCAGGCAGAACCCAAATTTCACTAACAGTTTTGTACTGTTACCTCCAGGGGCGAAGCGTCTATATAATCAAATAATCACTGCTTTTCTTCCTAATTTTGAAACATTGTCGCTGTCAAATTCATTCTTAAACGTAAACCTCTTAAATTAAATGTAAAAAGACGTTCGTAATCAACAATGAACAGTATGCCTAACATTCAAAACGGTTTCACGGCCACAGAAATAGCCTCCTCACCCCTCTCGGGCCACTCCTTAAGCAATCGCAAGCTTTGATTAAGTAAGTTTAAAGTGAGGCTGGAAGAGTCTACCAATAGAGTTGAAGGGAACATGTGCATAGCAGTCAAAGCTGTTTCATTGCCACATATACCCTGTTCACCCCTTTGGGGCCACAGTTATAATCAATCACAAGCCCTGATTATGTAAGCTAACTAACACTGGTCGAGTCTACCTCACAAATGTGAGGGGAACTAACTCCTAATAATCTCTTGACTGCTGCATGTGCTTGTTTTTTTCCCTCGACTTTTTACCGTCCTATAATCAAATCGTGACCTCGATTATGACACCAGCTCCTGGCCGCGAAAGGCTAACAAAAACAGCCAAATGTGAAATTTAAAAAATGATAATTGTCATGTTCTACCAAAGAGTTAGACTCACTGGTAGATCTATAACATACAGATCTAGTACTGACATCTCTGCTTCTTTGCTTTGTGTTTATGTATTCACATCTAAAATTTAATTTAATTTTAGTTGAAACTGATATTTAATACGATACTTTCCCGATTACTTTGGCGGTTGAACATACAATATGAATTCCGGATTTGTTTTCATTCACAACTCAGATAAGTCGCCGTCTCGAGTAAGATTCTTGTGTGATATCTACAGGCCATATCTAATCCCGTTTCACTTTGATTACCCTGTCAAACAAGTCAGCCTTCGCCCCTGGTTACCTCATTTCTTAAGTCAGCTCATGAAATAAAACAAGACTGGTAGAGACTACTCTGTGCCTGAAAAAAAAGCTGTCAACCTATTCGTTCAAGTACAGCTAGCTGTATATCCCTATGGGTGGGATGGGGACGCAGAGATTCTTCGCAGTAATTAATTAACTTGGGAATCCAATTTCAACAGATTATTATATGCATCGTTCTATTTGACTATCTTTTCTGTGTTCCTATAGTGATCTCTTACTTGACGACTGTACTCCCGGCTCACAGAAGTTTGTGCTGATTTCTCTTCATGTCTGGCATTCACTATCAACTTGTTATCCTGGACTTTCACCTGAAAATGTACAGAACAATAATAATTAATAAATCTTCATATCACGCTAGGAGTGCAAGCTCTAATTCTCCATGCACAGACATCTTCAATCATGGTGACTCCGAAACAAGACACACAAGCACAACAAAGAACTTTTTACCAATGTTCAGATAGCATGGGTCGAATGCCTTTGTTGTAAGTAAGTTAGAAATTCTGTAATGTGCCGACCCAGTTTTAACCACCCATTCACTGACATACCCGCCCCAACTCATTTTCTCTAACCAACCAACACACTGAACTCTCTCTCTCTCTCTCTCTCTCTCTCTCTCTCTCTCTCTCTCTCTCTCTCTCCCTCTCCCTCTCCCCCCTCTCTCTCTCGCGCGCTCTCTCTCTCTCGCGCGCTCTCTCTCTCTCTCTCCTCGGTCTATCTGTCTGCCTCTCTGTCTGTCTGTCTGTCTGTCTGTCTGTCTGTCTGTCTGTCTGTCTGTCTGTCTGTCTCCCCCTCTCTCTTTCTGTCTCTCAGTCTTGCTCTCTCTGTCTCCCCCCCCCTCTC